TAGGAGCAGATTTTTAAATTATCCGAACGCAACCCTGCTGAGAGATGGTACTTTCCTGGGGGAAAAAAGTGCCCCAGTTCTGATTGGCTGGGCGAATTGCAAACCACGTCCCGTAAAACTCTAAAATGTTTTGTAGAGCTGCCATTTTATTATCCTCGCATTAGCATTATTAGCATTAGCATTAGCCCAGCGCAGAAACGCAGAGAGACTAACTTATGGCAACACAAAATAAACATGGGAGCGGTGGAGATGAGGAGGTGTCGGCGTTCTGGCGATTTACTCGGAAGGCCTCTGGGAGTCCCAGCAGCTTCTACTGAAGCCAGTCCCCAACTCCGGGGACTTCCGGCCGGGGACTCCGGGTGGCAGTATACGTGAAGTGGTTTGCTGCCTGCCAGTAAACCCAAAGCAGAAGAAGAAGAAGTGACGTCGTTTGCGTAATCTTCCCTCAGGGACTTATTCCGGTGTGAACGCGATATGTACTAAGTGCCCTGGGGTAATAAGTGCTGGGGCACTAAGTGCCAGCACTAAGTACGGCAAAGTACTTGGTGTGAACGCGGCTGTTGGCTATTTTATATAAAAAAAAATAAAAATAAAATGCATTATTATTATTTCAGCTCCACACGCTGTCCACCTACTTATTGATCCACTATCAGCGTCAGTGCACCCCGCTGCCAGATTGTGCCTGTGCTGTGTGTCATTCACTCTCAACATGGATAAAAGTACAATAAGTATTCTTCAGGTGTAGGTAGATTCTCTATTCGGATATTATAGCCTATATTTGTGACTGTCGGTCCGATATTTAATAAAAAAAAATCTAAAAAGAATATTTTATTTTTATTCTCAAAATAATTTGCCGGGCCAAAAGTTATTGCTGGCGGGCCACCAATGGCCCGCGTGCCGCCTATTGCCGACCCATGCCCTACACCCTTCCTCTCCCTGCTTCCACTCCGCCTCATTAAGACCCACATTTTTTATTGTTTTTAATTTTTTGTTTTTAACAGAATTGTATTTTATTTAGTTTTTTTTGTGATTTTTTCCCTTTTATTATTATTATTTATTGAATTCCTGTTTTATTCAGTCCTGCATTGTTATGAAATGTTCTTTTTAATAACAAAACAATGTGTTACTGTGGTTATGACCTGGGAAGGGGCAGATCGCATTGTTTTTATTTGTACCTTTTCTATGTGTTTATGAAACGCTTTGAGTTATCTTTGTGTATGAAAAGTGCTATATAAATAAAGATGTATATGATTTGACTAAGGGCTGATCCAAATCAACTATACAGGAGTGGGTTAAGGTTATCGATCCCTCCCACAGCGAGTCTGCATCGGTCCTTACCATCTGTCCTAGCTGATCATGTGCATTATGTGCTGTTTCTAAATGCCATGGAGCACAATGTGTACCTTGACGACAGGTGTCATGTTGATGTGACCTAGAAGGTTTCATTACAAATAAAATGGTATACCTGTGTCTGGTGATAGACCAGTGTCATTCTGAGATGTGAGTTCTGCACTAATGCATCAAGTATTAAACCCAACATCACCATATGATATGATAGATCATAATCTCTAGAGTTTCTCCTTAGATATGAACCAGCTTTGAAAGGTCATAAACGAATACACAAAGCTTTCCTACCCTACTGAAAATGTCAGAACAAAATCAAAGGGGCGGGGCATCTTTAACATTTCTCTTTCAACTCAGTAATCATGAGAATGAATATATATATCTTCTTCTTTTTTTTTAAATACTTATTTCCTACTTACACTGTGTTGACCTGACAGTATGGCCTCCTCCCGCTCTCGTCTCCGCCTCTGTTTCTGTGCCTGGGGCCGAGAGGACAGTGGTGGAGATGAGGTAGAGGATGGAGGTTTGGGGAGGGTCCCTGAACACAGCCTGGCTGCTCCTCGGCCCCCCAGCCGAGCAGTCAGGACACGACCTGCCCTCCACATCCTCAGGAACACACACACAACCACACACATGGCATGTTAATTCAGAGAACCTTGCTAATACATTACTTGAATTTGAAATAATTGTATCTGCGATGACAGTTAGTCTTTAAACAGGCTTTAGGTTGACTTACTGTGCCATCAACGACCTTCTAACTGAGCCACTTCGTTATCCGAGAAAGTGCATTTCTATTGTGTTGCTGACTAGATATACAATTCAAATTATTGTATAATCTCGTATAATAATTGTCATTTCATATCACTTTGTTTTAATATTCTTTTCCCATTATTCTCAGCATGTGGATGCTGTTTGTTGACGGACTGTTAAACTTCACGGTGCACCCGGAAGTGACCGCTGTCCGTCTGTAAATATCTTCCCCACCACATTACTAATGCACGGAGCATCCTGTTTACTTACAAAATAAAATGTCCTTTTTGTATAATGTTCACCAAATAATGCAATATTAATGTTTTCAATGCTGGTTCATTGAATATAAACTATTATGACATAACAAAGTGATTTGGGCTGATTTGTGTGACTCCATAATTGTATAGTAGGAGATGATGGTTTTGACCTGAAAACATTCAACTTCCGCTTAGAGTCTGACTACACCTCCTGCAGCTTGACTGTTGTTAGCAACATCTCAGCATACTACTGAACGCCTCATAATCTTCTGGTCAACAAGCTTAATTCACTTTGGGATTTTAAAAACCACGGTTCGCAAGGTGTAGCCGTTAACATCACGTTACAGACGCTGTCTATCACTGACGGTCCACTTTGGTTCCTGGTATTTTATAGCTAGCTAACGGTAGCGTTAGCAGAGCAGCTACAGGGATGGCGGAGGTTCCCGGGACTTCGAGTGAGACGATAACGGAGACTGTTCAGACGAGCACGCCGCCGCCGCCCCAGCAGGTACAGGGAACTCTGCTAGCTAACAGTGGCTAGCAGCCAGCTCTGTTTGAAGCTATACCAGGCCCTCACCTTCTCTGTGTCATGCCTGCTTGTCCGCCTGATGAAGCTACCGGGCCTAATGTGGTCATTACGCTATCTCCTGTAAAATGACAGCATGTTTAGGGTGTGACAGGACAGTGAGCGGGAATCCTGGTATGTGCAGGTTGTTCTCATGTCTGCATTAACAGTGGCGGCTCTCTGGAGCTTGTTCAGGATGGACTCTGAACCCAGTCACACCTCGGACTGGTCTCAGGTCTGACGGCACAGACAGAAACACACTAACAGCAGCAATATCACGAATATATCATATATCACATTCAGACCTGAGGCATGTGTCTGGTGTACTTATAAAGTGTATGCAAGTATGTGCCCATATGAACAGTCATGCAGATGCCTGTTGTTACTGGATGGTCTTTGGTCCTTAGTTCCAATGACTGGAGATTGTATAGCCTCATCTTATAATTCTGTTTAAGATAAGAAGAAGATGACATACAGAGCAGGTGTTGAGTTCAAAGTTAAAATTGTACTAATTTGACAGTCGAAAGGCACACGTGCAAACAGGACTTAGCAGTGTACAATTGGTAAATTATTTTGGTCATGGTTGATTTTAATTACTTTATACACTACTAGGTAGCTTAACCTATAATAAGGAGTACAGTATGAGTATAATACAGTACAGCTCTGGCAAAAATTAAAAGGCCACTCCAAATTCTTCTTAAATCTCAATCTCTACATTCCATCCCAGTGTCTGTTGAATTCCAACACAGAGAAATGTTATCAGTAGTTTATAGAATAAAATCAAATAAACATGAATTGTACTGAAACACATACCTATAAATAGTACAACCAGAGAAACTGATAATGCTGCAGTGGTCTTTTTCCAGAGCTGTATGTAGAAATCATGACTGTGCATGTGCCTGGCCTGGGTCTTTTTCTCCAGATTGGTCTATGCCAATAAGTGAAGATTGTATTGCCTCAGCTTCTAATTATATTTTAGATAAGAAAAAGGTGACACACATGGGAGAAATGTTCAGTTCACCTTTTACTCTATTGATGCACATTTTACATTCCTATACAGATAAGGCCCGTAAAACGCACATGCACAAAGGGTCAGAGCAAAGGGGCCCCCCTGGATCAGTTAGGGGTTTGGTGTCAGGGCATAGAGATTCTCCAACTTTGGTCCAACAGTTGTTTTAAGCTCTTTCCACTTCCAACGGGTCGACACCCCCTTCTCAAACCCAGGTCCATAAGTAATGGTTTTCTAAGTTTTGTGTTGACAGTTGGACCTTAAAATCACATGACTTGGTTCAGTTGTTCTAAAACTGTAAAGGTCAGAGGTCCACCAGCAGATGCTGATCATCTTAATATAATATGATCCCTGGTACCACACACACAACAACACAAACTGTAACTATACTGTTGTGCGATGACACTGCTCATATGCAATATACATGATATTCATCTTTTAGAAGTGAATATTGTCACTGCCAGCTGATACTTCCTTACTTAAGTCTGTAACAACACTGCTGTGTAGTAACACTGATTATATTTCACTTTTTTAGTTCAGAGCTAGTTGGCAGTTAGGAACCAGTTGTTTTTCCACCGTCATGACATCACTGTTTACGTCGCTATAAGCAGACCTCTCATTTGTTTACAGGAGGGACGCAGCCTGACAATCAAGCTGAGGAAGAGGAAGACGGAGAAGAAGGTGGAGTGGTCCAGTGACACCGTCGACAACGAGCACCTAGGAAGAAGGTCCTCCAAATGTGAGTCCTCCTGATCATCACAGACTGATATGTAGATAATCGTGTGTCTTAAAAACAGCAACTGCTAACAAGTGTCTAAATGAGACCACTAAACTTCATCACACCCAACATTAGCCGCCTTTAGCTTAGCGGTGTTGACGTGAGGTCATGTAGTTCCTTTATAGCCTCATGTTAGCTTTTTACTTCTGGTGATTGCATTTGTTCTTAAAAATCATAAAGGGGGGTTAATATGTAGGGATTACCCAGCCGAACAAAATGTGTAACTATTATAAATGTATGTTTTCCAAAAGGCTCAAAATGGAATGGAAAAATCCCAATAAAGTGACAGTGAACTCTTAAACACTTCCTTAGAACCTGTATAGTACAGTTTACCTGCCAAATGATGATCCTGATTACTTTCATCTTGAAAATAACAATATATGCATAAAGGAGCTACAATATGTAGCGAAGGACAACTGACAAACATATTATAGTTAAAAATGATTAAATGGTATGTGAAAATATGTCATTATCTCCTCACTTTTTCCTCAGATTGCAATTCATATCAGAACTCAGACACGTTTCCCTCACATGCACACACAGGTGTTAAAGGGGTTAAACCTCCTGCTGCCGCTCTGCTGGATTCATCAAACAAAGTGCTGCAAGCTATTTTTACCCCATGCTCAATTTAGTGTGTGTGTGTGTGTGTGTGTGTGTGTGTGTGTGTGTGTGTGTGTGTGTGTGTGTGTGTGTGTGTGTGTGTGTGTGTGTGTGTGTGTGTGTGTGTGTGTGTGTGTGTGTGTGTGTGTGTGTGTGTGTGTGTGTGTAGGCTGCTGTATCTACGAGAAGCCTCGACAGTTCGGAGAGTCGTCCTCCGAGAGCGAGGGAGAGGACGATGATGAAGGTTGCGGCAGCGCTCACTGCATCTTGGGCCATGGCAGGAGAGATAATGGACAGACGGGGGGTGGGGGGGCCATGGCGCCCCCAAACTCTGGGGGGTCACACAGCCACTAGTGTGGGGGTCTCGCCACGACAATGACACGTACAAACTGCACTCTTTTCTTTTAGTTTAGTCCATCCCTGAGCTGCAGAGGAGGCAGCACAGACACAGGGATTACTGAGTCAGCATAATTACACAACCTGCTCTCTAAAAAGATGCATGCACAGTCAACTGACATGCATCACATGGAATAAGTCAAAGTGTTATGGAGTCATGCTGTGATGGCGCTAGATTTGAAAAGGCCAGTCTTTCTGCATGTGTTGGTTCCTTTACTGCAGATCACTCAGTATCTCACTGCTGAGCATTTTCCAAAGCATGTAGCATTTGAAAAGCGTTCCTGATTTCCATTGATATCCATTTACTTAACTCTGCTGACAATAAACTCCGAGGTGTGTGATCCATCATAGGAACGCTGTCAGAGTGCAGCGCTGCAACTGCCCTTTGTTTTCTTCATTTGCTGAATATCTTCTTCGTTATTTGAGCAGTAATATTTGTATATAAATGTGGGAAGAATGTCTCTCACTCTCCACGACTCAAGGTGACGAACATTATTCAAATATGCAGCTTGTATGATAAAGAAAACACACTGCAGAGAACAGGGACTGAACATATGGAAATATTTGCTGATTTCTTTTCTCTACTGATAAATTCATTAAGAAATCTATGTAAGAGGATCATGGCCACTTCCTAACATAAGAATTGATTTGGGCCTGAGTTTTTTTTTTTCAGAATTCTGAGATAAGTCATCATTAAAATGTTTTTTTTAACTTTGGCCAAATCAGATGAAAGTCTAAATTCTGAGATTACATTTAGAAATCTGAGCAAAAAACTCATTTGAGAATTTTTTAACAATTCCATTTTTTTTGTACTTTTGGTCACATCCCAAAAGAGTGTTCTCATGTGGCTCCTATCCTCTTCTGCAGGAATCAGTTCAGCTCCATTGACCATTTTTCTTTCTTAATTTATTTATTTATCATTTAGTAAGAATGTAGGGTGATGTTTTAGACATTTTCTTAATTAAATGGCGTGTTTATTCCAGAAACATTTAACAACATATTTGCTTCACAATTGTATATGTAAATATATGTAATCACCGCCCAATGTTAACTTCCAGTGTTAAAGAAAACAAGCCTTCACAGAAGTGATGTGTGTTCTGCACAAAGCTTTGGAAAATGGTCGGCAGTTCTTTAAACAATATTTCATTGCCAAAGTAAACTGAAATATGTAAAAAAAGAAAACCACTATTGACATATTGTGTATGGTGTGAAGTGATGTGGACTATTGAAATGCTCCTGTACAGCTGATATTGTGCTGACTCAGCTTTAAGCATGGCAGCCACTGTAACCCTTTAACATCATTTGAACTCCAGTGCAACACAATGCCAATGCTTGTCACAAAGTTTCATACTGCCTATTAAAGAATTCTCTGTAATTCTTTGGGAAATGTTCCTCAGCAGGAAGTGTTTGTAATTTGTCGTGAAGAAGCTGAAACGTATAAAAGCTCTGATGATGATGATGCAGAGGTTAGAAACAGAAGCTCTGGCCCCAGCTGCAGGGACACTTCCTGTCTGAGCGGGGTCTCAGTGTGTTTTCCTTTCCACAGCACATGTATTCACATGTTGGTTTCATTCTATTATGCCGTCACTAACAGCATATCTCACTTTATTTTTGAGCTCAGTCACTGTTTGCTGTTTCTGATTGGAAGATGGAATTGTTCCGATTGTTAAAAGAACACATTGCACAAAACTGTAATGACATATTACTCCGTTGGCTTTAGCACCATCACTGTTACCTCTTCACGATCACTTCAATGATTTAACACAACACTGGGGTTTTCACTTCTTCCAACCCGATTGCTTAGAAGATGCTTTACAGTAATGAAATAATATATAAGACATAAAACAAGTTCAAATAATTCCAACACATTGCATCAAGGTCAATCAGGAGATTTCATTACAATCCTTAAAAGGTTTTAAAGTGCCTTCAGCACCTCTCCATTATTAAAAGCATTAATAGTTTAATTTCAAAGCTAGAATTTCAGACTGGCCAATCAGCATTTAGTTAGTATATTGATGTTTTATGAAACTTTTTAAAAACTACAGATATCATCATTATGAACCTTGACATGGAGCATAGTTCTAAAGTGAGATTATGGAGCTGAGATACAACACAATTGAAAATATCCATATCATAGTCAAATCCTGATATTGTCTTATATTGTAAAAAAGTAAAAGATTGTCTTTAGTTTAAAGGCTGCGTAACAGTGAAGTGTTGTTTCATTGGTTATCACTTAGTCTATATTTCCTCTTGACTGATGATTATTCATCAGAAGTCTCAACATCGCTGCCAAATGAAAACATAAAGAATATAGTGACTCATCACCCAGTCCTATTAGTTTGCTGTTCTAATGAAATCTGATTGAACAATACATCCCTGGCCTGTGTTGGGAGATGACTTGATCTGGCTAACATCATGTAAACCTGGATCACTCAAACCACACATCGAGGACTTCCAGTTGTGTCAAATGTAAACTGAAATCACGTGGTTGCTTTTGCAGAGCTCGAATCATCCGTTTTTTGTGATGACTGATTCAATGAGACCTCACCGAGTGATTGTATTTTTTACATTTATACATTTTTCTCTGGTTTTCATTTGCTTGATTGATTTTGAGATAAATCCACTGGACAATCTTAGAAACTATGACATGTTGGCGTCTGAAAATGTGTTGTTTTTAGAGCTTAGACAAACTCAACCGTCCTGAGTTGAGAATAACATCGTTCATTTGTATGGACAAATAATGAGTTCTTTTTCAAAGCAGCCATAAGTCCCCTTTAGATCCAGCTCCTCCATGTTCACTCTGAGCTCCTCCATGGTCACTGAGCTCCTCTATGGTCACTCTGAGCTCCATGGTCACTCTGAGCTCCTCTATGGTCACTCTGAGCTCCTCCATGGTCACTCTGAGCTCCTCTATGGTCACTGAGCTCCTCTATGGTCACTCTGAGCTCCATGGTCACTCTGAGCTCCTCTATGGTCACTGAGCTCCTCTATGGTCACTCTGAGCTCCTCATGGTCACTCTGAGCTCCTCTATGGTCACTCTGAGCTCCTCTATGGTCACTCTGAGCTCCATGGTCACTCCATGGTCACTCTGAGCTCCTCTATGGTCACTCTGAGCTCCTCCATGGTCACTCTGAGCTCCTCTATGGTCACTGAGCTCCTCTATGGTCACTCTGAGCTCCTCTATGGTCACTCTGAGCTCCTCTGAGCTCCTCTATGGTCACTGAGCTCCTCTATGGTCACTCTGAGCTCCTCCATGGTCACTCTGAGCTCCTCTATGGTCACTCTGAGCTCCTCTATGGTCACTGAGCTCCTCTATGGTCACTCTGAGCTCCTCCATGGTCACTCTGAGCTCCTCTATGGTCACTCTGAGCTCCTCTATGGTCACTGAGCTCCTCTATGGTCACTGAGCTCCTCTATGGTCACTCT